TATCTGTCTGTGTCTGTGTACCTGTGTCTATTTTAGTGTTTGTCTTTCTTTCATTTTTCAAGCAGAGTGAGTACAGGTCAGTGCCTATCTTCTCAGTCAGTAGCTCAACTACATTATTCTACATCCTGTGTGTTAGCTTACATAAATGTCTGTGCAAGTTATCCAACTAAGTGTCATGTAACTACATCAGACAACTGCATAAGGGGTTATTCTCATTCTATTTGACCATGTACTGCAGTGGATGCTGATACTAAGGATGCTGGATATCTTTTTGATAGCTTCTTCTTGTTAAGTCTTCCTGGCTTGAAATTCACATTAGATATTCATGTATTTTCAATTTAAACAAGAGTATAACAACTCAATCAAACTTGCTGGATTTGCAAACTTGGAATTCCAGTAATTGATGAGTTGGGGTGGTAAATTGCTCTAGAGAAAGCCATGGCATTGAGGGCATTTAGCCTTTTTTAAAATCAAATTCAAATTGCGCCTCCTGCCACGGTGGGATTCAAATCTGGGTCCCCAGAACATTACCTAAGTCTCTGGATTAATGGCCACAAGGCCACTTCCTATCCTTGGTGGAGAGTGAAACAAGGAGTGGTATGCTCTGTGCCAACATGGATGATTCTGAAAAGCTGTAAGTTCTTCTGATAGGCCAAGAAGCCAAGTTGGTTTGTGAATATCAATCCACAACCAATGTAGTATGAGGCTGACAAAAACTCCGAGAGAGCTTGTAGCATTTTGAGGGGTGGATCAGGAAAGTACACAAACCTTGTGAACAGAGCAAGAAGACAGACAGCTGCCCTTCACATCTCAACTTTGTCTCTAAAACATCAAGCTGATGTTTTTGCATTCTAACAGCTTGACCAGTGAATTGTATGTGATTAGGAACCAAAAAATCAATGACAGCTCAACTCTTACATTATTGAGGCCATCAATCGGAAGCAGGAATAAAAGCAACAGTGGTTGGAGGCAGTGGTTACTGGTTGGTAAAATACAACTGAGGACTCTGCTTGAGCTGTGGTTTTGGTTGTTGCATTTGTTTTGCTCATTCATAAAGTATAATTTCATCGACTTTAAACGATTCGCAGACTTGTCAAAATGATACTGTGCAAATATTAAGGGGACGTGTTAACCTTAGTCCCCACTTAAACAGTGGTAGTGTCAATTTTGTTTGGTTTGATATACCAGAAAAAATTCTTCTGGCAGCTGAAACGAAAGACAGACAGCCAAATCAAATCAGCCTCCCTATTCCTGTATTTGTAACACAGTAAAATGAACACATTCAATGGCCCTCAAAATTAATCTCAATGGTTCCTAACCAGAATTTCTGATTATTCAGTACCAGAATTTGTGAATAACCAATACCCAGATACCAGATTTATAGCTTAAACAAAAGATTTAACAATTTATTAATAATGCAGTAGCTTTATCAGAGCAAAATTAAACCACAAGGTAATCTAATTAATGTCTAGGACTTAAACCCAATTTTCTTCAATTCTTGACTTCCACTCTCTCTCAAAGGCAGACAGACAGACAAACAGACGTGGTTAAGAGATAAATCAAAACAATAAAATAAATGAGATATAACTGGCCAGTTCATTGAAGCAGACTGCATGATCCCCATCTCAGGCTTATAGGATTATATCTTGTTTTATTTCTGAAGCCATTGTTGCATATAACTAGCTTCCAGTACGATCCAAGGAATATTCGCATAATACTTATAACTGAGATTCTGTTATCTGAACTTTCAGTAAATTGATAATGGGAGGACAATCAGGGACCAGTCAAACCTCTGTGCTGTAGCTTTCACAGGCATAATCCTTTTGACTTGAATACAGTTGAAAAATCAGTTCAGACTTTGGTTTCTCTTTAGACACATAAAAACTGCAGATGCTGGAATCCAGGTAGACAAACAGGAGGTTGGAAGAACACAGCAAGCCAGGCAGCATCTGGAGGAAAAGAGCAGTCAATGTTTTGGGTATTACCCTTTTTCAGTCCTGAGGCCCGAGGCCCTAGTTAGCATTCAGCATCTGACACCTGTCTGAGCATAATGCAGCTCCAGAAATGTCTAGAGGGTTCTTTGAACAAGAATAAACCTGTAATTAACTTCCAAACCACAAATGATAAAAATAAAGAAAAATCAGCAAGGGTTCTAACCCCTGGTCTGCTCAACTTGCTGACATCATTACTACAGTAGAACTAGTCCTGCCCTTGATTTAGCGCAAGATTTAAACTACCAACTGATAGCTTTCTGATTTATTGGTGAATAGCCACAGCTCACAGCAAATGGTGAGAGAAAATAAATGGGCTTTCTTTCGGCTCTAGGTGTTTTTTTTAAAGTAGTAAAACATACACCACCTCCCTCTTCAGAAGTCCAAAGGCACTTGCCTATCTGATTCACACCCACAAAGTGTTCACCTACTTAGGAACCAGTCACAACATTGTCATTGACAATGACAAATTCACAGACCAAGCAACTACTGGTTGCTAGCTGAATCCTTTTCCTATTTCCGTCTCCATCGAAAATACAGAAAAATAAAAAGATACGGTTTTTACATAGGGTTCATGCCTAATCGGGTCTGATACGTTGCAGTTTATTTTACAGAAAACTGTAAATCAATTTGAAAAGTAGGATGCTCAATTATTTGTTTGCACATGAAGCATTTGAGCGAGTTGGTGGCATGTAGTGTTTGGAACACATTGCATTCAGTGCCTGAAGTTGTTGGTTTACATGGTGATGCATTGCAGTAAAAACATGTATTCCAAGTGTGTAACTAGTCAAGACTTTAAGTCTTTTTTCTAAAGAAGAGTCCCGACCCGAAACGTCAGCTTTCCTGCTCATCTGATGCAGCCTGGCCTGCTGTGTTCCTGCAGCTCCACACTGTGTTATCTCAGACTCCAGCATCGGCAGTTTTTACTATCTCCAAGACTTTAAGTCTGCTTTATTCAAATTAGAACTGGATTCTTGCTTTTGACAAAATCATTCTATTAAAGGAATTGGATACCAGCCCAGACTTGCCAGGTTAAATTAAACGGTTAGAATAGTCTACTTCATCTCTCTCTCTGTTGGATTACATCAAACCTACCCAAGCAAAACATCAGGAAGTATACTGACAATTTAAGAAATTCCTGCTGGTTTTGTGCACTTCTCAATTATAATTGACAGTGTTTTGGAAACTAATCAATTCTGCAGTTTATTGTACTGTATTTAGATCTGTAATACTATGCACTTCGTAGAATGCATTGGAAAAGTCATTCTTTGTTAATGTAAATGCTGTGTTGTGTTCAAATCATATAGTTCTGAATTTGGGTGTTAAATGAAAGTTTTAAGTATATATCTACCATAGTGTTAAACTTAGCCCCTGATTAAACCATATGTATGACTTTCAGTTTGCAACATATAATAGAAATATGTGGCATCTCTACTTCTGTCACACATATTTCACTGGTCTGTTGTGGGAGAAAGGGAATTGGTATTTCCTTGAAAAGGAAGAATTTGCAGGGCAATGAGGAGAAAAGCAAAAGAATGGGACTAATTTTCTTTTAAAGAACTAATGTAGATATGATGAGCCAAATGGCTACCTTTTGTCATATTTGATTCTAGACTGTTCCTTGTTCATCTCCTGAAGCTGGCAGCACATGCTGTGTGCAACTCCTCTGGCAACAAAAAGCTACAATACATGTGTGCAAGTCTAAATAGTAAGCATTAATTGGGAGGAGGAGATTGAATTCTTTCTCAGTACAAAAATTTAATGAGGGCCTCCTTGTGGCAGGCCATGAATGAACAGAACTAAGCAGCCATTATTATTTAATGCTGGAATATTCTGCCTAAAAGTCTCTTATCTATGGTTCACAGCTGCCCAGGGAACAGCTCAGAGCAGCTCTTCGTTTTCAAATAATGTAAGAGGCTAAGCACCTGCCGACTTATAACCTATTAACCATCCTGTCAAACAGCCGCAACCATCTGTGGAACAGAAAACCTGAAATACGCTGGCTGACAGGCCATTTGTTTCCTTTTTTCTCTTCTGAATTCCTCATTGTTGAGTGGAGAAACAAGATATGGTTTACATGGGTTACAGTCAATAGAGCCACACACAGAATTACACAAGCATGCTTCTGATGCTCTTATAACTTAAGGTGTTTGCATTGGTTAAGGTTTTCCTGTACTTGCATAGATTTAGAGCTTGCATTATTCCCTGTGTTTATAGTTGCAGCTAGTTCTTCTGTGAATAATACATCTCTGAATTTCCACTTTTGTTCACCTAGGCACTACAGACTCTGTTGCTCTTGCATTATCACACAAATTGAAGTTGTCATTCCGCTGCACCCTACCCTATTTTATTCTTTCCCACAGGTGTTGCTCTCCTTGGAGCAAAAGAGATTGAGGGGAGATTTGATTGAGATAATCAACATTATGAAAGGTTTAGGTAAGGTAGGCAAAGAAAATCTGTTCCCATCAGCTAATTGTGCGATAACTAGGGGACACCGATTTGAGAACAACAGATGCAAGGGAAAGGTGTGAGATTTTTTTTAATCAATGTGTGGTCAAGGTCTGGACCACACTACCTTTGAGGATGAAGGAAGAGGAAAGATCAGTGATTTCATAAGGAAGTTAGATGGACACTTGAGACAAATCAACTTGCAGAGTTACGGGCATAGATTAAGGGAATGGAATGAAATGGATTGAAAAACCAGCCTCTCTAACTCTGAAACCAAAGAATTCCTTGCCATCTGTCTTCCTTCCTTCTACAATTCATGGGTGTTCAGAATCAATGATTTATCACACCTTTTCTCCTACTTTAGCTAGCTTTAATGATATATTTTGCTATAAAGCTGGATTTCTTGGAAAACATAATCAAGGCAGAATGGTGGCTTGCAAAACAAACCACGTAAATTGGTGGATGTACAAAATGTAAGGAATGTCATGTTAGAAGTTTTGCTTTGACTCTGTTAATTCCTGTTAAAATCCCGTTACTTCTTACCCCTCTGTTTTCTTACAGCTGCAGTTAACTTGGCGAAACTGAAGCTATTCAGACATTATTATGTTATGGTAGGTTGAAGTTTTTTTCTCTTGAAATGATCAAAGGGAAACAATGTTGCCAGGGTAAGCAATCGAATAAAAACAGTGCTCCGTGGCCTCAATGTTTACTGGGGCAGGAACGATGGTTGGGGAAACTTAGAAATGCAGGGTATTTTTCCAGGTTGCTACCCCAATTGATGATTTTGGCTGCCTGTCAGGAAAAGAAGAATCAAGAATAAGTTACAGCTGATTGATGTTATTAATCTGGAAAGGGTACAAAAAAGATTTACAAGGATTTTACCAAGACTGGAAGGTTTGAGTTATAAGCAGAGGCTGGATAGGATGGGGCTTTCCCCCTCCAGAGCATAGGAAGCTGAGGGGTGACCTTATAGTAGTTTATAAAATAATGAGGGGCATGGATAAGGTGAATAGCCAAGTACTTTCCCCACGGTTAGGGGAGTCCAAAACTAGAGGCCATAAGTTTTTAAGGTGAAAGGGTAGGATTTAAAAGGGACCTGGGGATCAGTTTTTTCATGCAGAACGTGATGCGTGAACAGAACGAGCTGCCACAGGAAGTGGTAGAAATGGGTACAATTACAACAAATAAAAGACATTTGTACCAGTACGTGGATAGAAGGGTTTAGAGGGATATGGGCCAAGTGCAAACAAATGGGACTGGTTCAGTTTAGGAAACCTGGTCAGCATGGACAAGTTGGGTCGAAGAGCCTGTTTCCATGCTGTATGCCTCTATTACTCTATGATGAGCAACTAAGTGTAGTTGAGGATGGGATGAGTGGGAGGCTGACTGATTGTGAGGGGTGAGTCATTGGTGGGGAAAGCTGGAATTAGGGACGTTCTTGGAGATTGGAGGCATTTACAGGGTAGATTGCTGTACCTGGTGGAAACGCTCCTGCTTTTCTTGGCTGTAAAAGCACTTAACGTTTTGGAATCAGTATCTCTTAGTTGCAAGGCTTCCCGTGGCCTGAGAAACCTGAATGACCACAGTAAGAAATTCAAACCTTGTTAAAATAATGGCACACAGCCCCTTTAAAAGGTCTCAGTGACCAATGCACCTCTTAAGAACGGGTTCATCATGTCCCTCATCCCATGTCGATTAAAACTGGAAACAGGCGAATTTAAGGAGAGTTGGATTCTTCTTTGAAATTTTAAACATGTTTAAATAACTTGCATTGGTTTCTCTCTTTCCTTTCTGTCTGTCTATCCCTACCAACTCAACTCATATACCTTTTTCAGATCACACAATCCCACCTCCCCCCACCTCCAACCTCAAACCTAACATTTATCCCAGTGTTTTAGATTTCAGATCAATTGTTTAGGTCTTTACAAACATCTGTTTGAGCCAAATGGCCTCAATTTCTTCCTCTAAATGCCCAGCTGTTTCAACACAGTTCTTTGTATTGTAAGGCAGCTAGATCCCCGTGGAATTTGCTTGCTGACTGGGACTGGAATTTATGGTATTTGGGTTACTGTTGCACATTCTAAGCTGCTTTATTTTTGCATCTATTACTGGTGTAATAGTGCTGCTTAATATAGAAACACAAAAAATAGGTGCAGAAGTATGCCATTCAGCCCTTCAAGCCTACTCCACCATTAGGTACGATTGTCGCTGATCTTTCATCTCAATACCCTGTTACTACTTTTACATAGAAACTTTCCGCTCTTCAAACCTGCTCCGCCATTCTTCACGATCATGGCTGATTGTCCAACTCAGTAGTCTAATCCTGCTTCCTCTCCATAGTCTTTGATCTCATTCGCCCCAAGGGTTTTGGCATCAATTACTTTCTATGGTAATGAATTCCACAGGCTCACCACACTTTGGGTGAAGAAATGTCTCCTCAACTACCCCGAATCCTCATGCTGTGAGCCTTTGCTGTGGACACATCCACCATTGGGAACATCATCCCTGCATCTACCCTGTCTAGTCCTGTTAGAATTTTATAAGTCTCTATGAGATTCCCCCCCACCTCATTCATCTGAACTCGCGAAAACAATCCCAACCTAGTCAGTCCTGCCATCCCCGGAATCAGCCTGGTAAACCTTCGCTGCACTCCCTTGAGAGCAAGAGCATCCTTCCTCAGAACAGAAGACCAAAACTGCATGCAGTATTCCAGGTGTGGTCTCACCAAGGCCCTGTGTAACTGCTACAACACATCCCTGTTTCTATTCTCAAAACCACTTGCAATGAAGGCCAACATACAATTTTCCTTCCTTACCGCCTGCTACCTGCTGCACCTGCATGCTTACCATCAGCGACTGGTGCACAAGGACGCCCAGGTTCCACTGCACGCTCATCTCCCAATTTACAGCCAATCAGGTATTAATCTGCCTTCTAGATTTTGCTTCCGAAGTGAATAACCTCACATTTATCTAAATTATACTGCATCTGCCAGTGATTTGCCCACTCACCCAACCTTTCGAGATTGTGCTGAAGGATCTCTGCATCCTTGTCACAGTTCACCCTCCCTGCAAACTTGGTATCATCTGCAAACTTGGAGATGTTACATTTTGTTCCCCCATCCAAATCATTGATATATATTGTGCAGCTGGGACTCCAGCTATTCGATCCCTGTGGCACCTCACTAGTTACTGCCTGCCAATTTGAAAAGGACCCATTAATTCCTACTCTTTGTTTCCTCTCTGCCAGCCAGTTTCCCATCTATCTCGATACACTTCCCCCAGTCCCATGTGCTTTAATCTTGCACATTAATCTCTTATTTTCCCCCATGCCTTTTGATTCTTTTAGCCCTAACTACTACTTGAAAAAATTTAATGTTTTGGCCTCAACTACTTTCTGTGGCAGAGAATTCCACAGGCTCACCACTTTCTTGGTGAAGAAATTTCTCCATATCTCATCTAAATAGCCTACCCTATCTTCTTAGACTGTGACTGCTGATTCTGGACTCCCCAGTCATCAGGAACATCCTTCCTGTATTTACATTTTCTGGTCCTGTTAGAATTTTATAGGTTTTTATTATGACTCCGATGAATGTAGACCTAAGTAATCCAGTCGCTCTTCATACATCAGTCCTGCCATCCCAGGAATCAGACTGCCATTCCCTCCAAAGCTAGAACATCCTTTTTCAAAATGACACTCAATACTCCAAGTGTGATGTCACCAAGTTGCTGTACAATTGTTGCATGACATCCCTGCTCTTTCTCAAATCCTTTCACCTTTGAAGGTCAACATACCATTTGCCACCTTCACTGCGTGCTGCACCTGCTTCTTACTTTTCAGTGACTGGTATGCAAGGACACCCAGGTCTCATTGCACTTTCCCTTTTCCCAATCTGTCACCAATCAGATAATAGTCCACCTTCCTGTTTTGCTCTCAAAGTGGATAAACTCTTCTTTATCCACATTATACTTCATCTGCCATGCATTTGACCACTCACTCAATTTGCCCAAGTCACACAGAAGTTTATCAGTATCACACTCTGCATCTTCATCACAGCTCACCCTCCTAACCTGCTTTGTGTTGTCTGCAAACTTGGAGATGTTACATTTTGTTATCTCATCTAAATAATTAATTCATCTTGTGAATAACTGTAGTCCGAGCACTGATCCCTGCATACCACACTAATCACTCAAATCCATTTATTTCTACTCTTTTTATTTTATGTCTGCCAACAAGTTCTCTCGCCATCTTAGTACACTACTCCAAACCCACATGTTTTACTTTTACATGCTAATCTCATATGTGGAACGTTATTGAAAATCTTCTGGATATCCATCTACACCACATCTGTTATCAACTCTACGAGTTATATCCTTGAAAAACTCCAGCAGATTTGTCAAACAAGACTTCACCTTTGAAAAATCCATGCTGGATTCTGTCCAATCCTGTCACTGTTTTCCAAATGCTGTGTTATTAAACCTTTCCCTACTACCAGTGTCATGCTAAAGAGTCTTTAATTCCCTGTTTTTCTCTGCCTCCATTTTTTTAAATATTGGGGTTGTACTAGCTATCCTCCAATCCATTGGAACTTTTCCAGAGTCTATATAATCTTGAAGGATGACCGCCAATGCATCCGTTATTTCTAGGGCTAATTCTTTAAGTGCTCTGGGATGTAAATTATTGGACCCTGGGATTTATTGACCTTTTAATTCCATCAATTTTCCCAAAACCATTTATCTACTAGTACTTTTCATAAAGGTCCTCCCTCTCATTAGATCCCATGTTTCCCAACATTTCTTGGATGTTATTTGTGTCCTCTTTGTGAAGGTAGAACCAAAGTATATGTTTAATTGCTCTGCCATCTCTTTGCTCCCCTATTATAACTACTTTGTTTCTGATTGTAAGGGACCAACATTTGTCTTCTCTGATCTTTTACTCTTCTCATATCTCAAAAAAGGAAACTACGATGGGTGAGGTGTGAGCTGGCGATGATGAACTCATATCTATAGAAGTGTTTACAATCAGTTTGTATATTGCCCACAAGTTTACTCTCATATTATACTTAATGTTTATTAATCAATCTTTTTGACCTCCTTTGGTGAAATCTAAACAATTCCCAATCTTCAGGTCTGCTTTTTTTTGGTCAATTTGTATTTGCCTTCCTTTGTATCTAATACTATCCCTAATTTCCCTTATTAGCTATAGTCAGCCTATCTTCCCATTTTATTTTTATGTCAGACAGAAATAAACAATTATCGCAGTTTGTCCATGTGTTCTTTAAATGTTTGTCATTGCCTAACTTCCGCCATCCCTTGAAGTAACATTCCCCAGTTTATCATCGCCAGCTCACACCTCACCCATCGTAGTTTCCTTTTTTGAGATTCAGGACCCTAGTCTCAGAATTATCCATATCACCCTCCATCTTAAGGAAGAATTCTATCGTATTATGGTCACTTTTCTCGGGAGGCCCTACACAGGCAAATTGCTAATTTCTTTCTCATGACACAATATCCAGTTCTCTAGTTGCTTCCTCAATGTAATGGTCTAGAAAACCATACTATGCGCACTCCAGGGATTCCTCCTTATTGGTATTTTTACTGATTTGATTTGCCCAATCTGTACGCAGGTTAAATTACTCATAATTATAGCTACCTATATTGCTTGTGTTTCTAATTACCTGTTTAATGGCTTCCGCAACATCGCCACTACAGTTTGAGGGCCTGTATACAACCCCTACTATTGTTTTCTGGCCCTTGGCGTTTCTAAACTCTTCCCATATAGATTCCACTTTACCAGAGCTAATATCCTTCCTCACTGTTGCGTTATTGCTCTTTAACCAGCAATGCTACCCCACCTCCTTTTTGTCTGTCCTCCATAAAAACTGAATACCCTTCAAGCTACAACTCCTGGAATGTGGGAATGACATTCAGATCCCTCTCTGGACCCCTGCAGCCATATTTCAACTAACCCAAACTATATAATTCCCACTTATATCTATTTACATTACTATTTCATCGTATTGCCTATGCACCGTGCATTAAGACACACAGCCTTGAGGCTTGTGTTTTAACATTCTTAGTCATAGAATCATAGAATCCCTACATGATGGAAGCAGGCCATTCAGCCCATCAAATCCATACTGACCCCACCGAAGAGCATCTGACCCAGACCCCACCCCCCACCTTATCCCTATAATCCTGAGTTTCCTATGGCTAATCCATCTAGCCTACACATCTCTAGATACTATGAACAATTTTGCATGGACAGTCCACTTAAACTGCAGATCTTTGGACTATGAGAGGAAACCAAAGTACCCAGAAGAAACAAACGCAGACACTGGAGAATGTGCAAACTCCCCACAGAGTTGTCTAAGGGTGGAATCGATCCTGGATTCCTGGCACTGTGAGGCAGCAGTGCTACCCGCTGATCCACCATGCCACCCCTTAGACTTGCTTGCATGATTTTCCTCTGTGGCCCCTTTTGATTTCTACCCTTCAATTCTCTGCTTATCACTTTTCTTATTTCCTATTCTGTTTTGTTTTTGGCCTGTTTTGCTCTTCTCTGTTTCCTTGCATAGATTCCCAATTCCTTGCCATTTTAATTCAAACCTTCCCATGTGGGCCAAATGCAGGCAAGTGGGACTAGTTTAGTTTGGAAAACTTGGTCTGCGTGGACTAGTTGGACCGAAGTGTCTGCTTCTGTGCTGTATGACTGTGATTGAATCCCCCATTTCTGTAGCCTTCCTATGCTTATTCCTCCTTTGGTGTGCAGCTGGGCCAACTCTGGTGCAACAAATTTGGCTGTTGTTACTTTCCGTTGAGACCGTCCCCCGAACTGTATCCAAAGCAGTATATCTGTTTTGCAGGAGAGTAGCCACAGGGGATTTTTTCAATTCCTGCCTCATCCTCTTACTCTGCCTGGTGGTCTTCCATTCCCTCCCTGCCTGTGGAGTGTTTACCTGCACAGTCACCACTCCTATATGCTGTCCACAATGCTCTAAGCCTCACAGATGCTCCACAGTGTCCCCAGACACTGCTTCAGCTTTGAAACTTGGACTTCCAGGAACTGCAGCCAGAGACAGATCCTGCACACATTCTGGTCCCTAGCGCCGACTTCCCATATAGGGTTCTGTGCCTTACCCTTTTAATCTGCACATTTCAATTTCCCTAAAAGTCAAATAATATGAATTACTCTTGTGTTCTCCTTCTCTGAGATGCTGCACTATTGCCCTTACAAACTTTAAACCCAAAATGAAGACCTTACAAACTATAAGTGATGAAAATAGGACATATGCCCATCCAACCTTACTCATCCACACAGCTGCTATAAGCTCTACATATAAGTTCTGTAAGACTGATATTAAAATGTGTTTTAATTAACTAATTCTATGAAGATCATTAAGCCCACTCCCAAGTATAAATGTCTGCATCCTTGCTTCTCTAGAGGTTTTACCCATTAAATAGATTCCTGGACCAAGAAGACTGGTTTGAGAGATTAATAGGATTTTAAAAATTGTGACCTTTAATTTACTTTCCATCTTTTAAGTTGCTTTGCAGGAATAGAGAGCTCCAGGTATAATGAAAACGAAAAAAGAACGTTGCTCTGGTGAAAATGGATCTCTGTATGTTAGTTAACAGTATATACCAGGTTAAGGTCCTTTAGTTGGTTTACCATTCTTAATTTGTCTGACAGGTTACACCCTTTTTATCTTCCCTCACTCAAAAGTATACATTCACAATGGAAATCTTTAGAGGCATCAGTTTAACAATATCACGTTCAAGTAATTGTCCTGGACAATTGAGTCTCAAAAATGAATGTCAGCAGTGTACTCAACCATGAACTTTGCTCATTTTTTAACTAATGACTACCCGTGTGCTCTCTTCAGTTGGGGACTACTGGATAATAATCAGAAGCAGGTATTTAAGTGATTTATTTCTACTTAGGACTCAGGTACTGCAGTCTATTCTAGTAGCTGCAGTACCTGCCCAACTGAAATCAACTATTCCCCATTGAACTGAGTTCACATTTAGAGTGATGAGTTTTGAAGGACACAGCTGTAAAACTGTAAACTGGGCAATGCATTCAGCAGCTGACACAGTAACTCTAGTACCTAATTAAACTTTTAATGTTTTGAATCGAGATCCCATACATCATATGTTTAACGTTTTTAGATTATTAATTTCAGAGAATCCCATAACTCATTTCTTTGGTATTCCTGTGGTACCCCATTTTATCATAATAGTTCCCACTAGTTAATTTAAGTGATAAATAGCATTTAAATGAGGAACACATTCAGCTAAGTTTGTCTGTCATATTGATATTCTTTAAATGCAAATTTGCTTCTTTGTGTTTCAGATTGTGTGTTACATTTATTTTACACGGATCATAGCAATTCTGATCAAAATCATTGTGCCTTTCCAGTGGAAATGGCTCTATCAGGTGAGTATACTCACCATTTATTTATTGTAATCTTGCTGTAATCTGTGCAGAAATAAAGATAACTTAGTCATGGAGTTCTAATTCAATTAAAATCTAGAAAATTGATTAGTTTTGTAATACTGTACAGGATTTCCATTGTGTCAAGAGAGAAAGGAAGTGTGAAGAAGGTGGTGATATCATATTGTGTCTTACTGCTGTTTTGGAAGATGATTACAGCACATATGGCCAATCTTTATCCATCTAGAAACATCCTAAAAAGCAAATAGAGTAACATTCGATTCTTTATTCAATGATCTCAAACGTTCTTAGATTTGCTTGTCTATCCATTCCATTTATTGAGTGCTCTGTGTGATACACTTGTTGCTGATGCATGTCTTAAATTAGATTTTTATTAGTTTGATTCCCTATTTTTTCATACTCTCTATCTAGATTCACCTCTCTCATAAATGAAACAAAGAATTGTGGATACTGGAGATATGAAAAAACACAAAACCAGAATTTACTGGAAAAGCTCAACAGATCTGGCAACATTTGTGGAGAGAAAACAGAATTGGGTCCCATGACCATACTTCTGAAGTAACTTAAGCTAACTGTTTTCTCCCACAGACCTGCTGACTTTCTCCAGTAATTTCCATTTTTGTTTGTTTTACCTTTTCCATAATATATAGTTTCTTCTTTGATTCAGCAGGGTTATTTCCCAGCCAACTTCCTATCAAGACTGAAGAGTCTACGTTTTTCCTCCTAACTCAGACCCTTGACACAGAGAGACCAGCTCAGAGATCTTTGCGCTGCCTACAGATTTTCTTCTGTGTTTTATTGACTGAATTGGATAGGGTATTCAGGAAGGGTCATTGGACCCGAAACATCAACTCTGATCTTTTCTTCACAGTTGCTGCCAGACCTGCTAAGCTTCCAGCAACTTCTGTTTTTGTTCCTGATTTACAGCATCCGTAGTTCTTTCGGTTTTTATCAGGGTATTCAGGGTGTCTGACTGGAGGACTGTCAGTTTTGAGTTATTTTTAATCAACCTGTTCAGAGTTGTTATCACATATTTCTGGAGCAGGTGGAACATGAACCCAGGCCTTCTGACTCAGAGGTAGGAATACCGTCACTGTATCACAAGAGACCCATACTTGTCAGTTTTGATTGCAACTTCCTTGGCTGTGTTCTGGTGATATCGTTCAATTTCGTTTGGCTCATTTGATTAGTTGCTGGCCATGTTGAATCCATGAAGATTCTGAGATATTTTTCACCTCCTTCATTGGTTATTATGGTATTATTCATGAAGTACATTTTTTGTCCAGTTTGCCATCCTAGATGATGACTTTACACTTTTCAGTTTTAAAATTAATTTGCCAGTTTATATAATTTATCAACTCATTCTGTAATTTCTGGGCAGTCTTCCCTGGTATAGTGGTCCAAGGCAGCAGTTCTGAAGGGGTTCAAGTCCCATCTGCTCCAAATGTATGTAACAACAGCTCTGAACATATTGATTGGAAAATATCAAACATGAAAATGTTATTAAAAAACTGTTAGATGACATTGGAGTAATTATGCAGTAACACACCATTGAAACTGAAATACATTTCTATTGTAGAAAGAGAAACATATTTTGAATATTAAACTAATTTTATGTCCTTTCGTAATTAGATTAATTTAGAAATCAGCCCTTAAATAATGACTTTCTATATCACTAATTCTGTAGGATCTACTCATTTTACTGAAAGCAGTGTCTTTCTGAATTTAATTAAATTTATTTCTAATGGTACATTTAATTACAAAATTAGCTTTCCCTTATAATTGATATTTCTCACAGGGACAAAGCAACATGTCCTGTTTTATGAGGCGGTTGGAACCTATAGTGCACCTTCAGAGGGAGAAAACCCTTTTCATTTGGGAGACTATCATGTTTCCTGAGTTTACAGATTCCTGGATAACAGAAGTGCAAGTCATGAATGTCATGTTCATTCTTTGAATGCCCATAGTTTATCTCTGTTATGGCATTGTGCCATTCTTCCAGCTGTCCAATTTCCCCTAAATGACATAACTTCCTTTGTTTGACGTTTTTTTTTTATTTGAAGAGTCAGGTGTTTTCTACAATTATCTTGCCAAGTCTCCCAATTTGGGACTGGTTTGCCCACCCTTTTAAATTAAGAGGTTGGGTAACCTAGGCCCAGGCCTGTGCTGAAATAATTGTAATGGAGGCAGCTCAAGCAGTATCACAAAACATATGATTGAAGTTCAGTAAAAGTCACGCCCTAAAGATGATCCTCAATCTTGTAGCTTAGAGGGCACAACATTGGGGAAGAAGGAAGAAATATCAGCATCTGGCACCTGGTTGTGATGGGGTCTTCTTTAGGTAAATATGCTCCCACCAAACTCTTCTAATAATAGTCTACGGGGCTTGCTAGTATTAGATTTTTTAAAATTGTCTCAAAGAATGTGGACATCTCTGGGTAGCCAGTATTTATTGCTTGTCCCTATTTGCCCCTGAGAATGTGGTGATTAGCTGCCTCCTTGAACGCAATCTGTGTGCTGTAGGTAGACCCACAATGCTGTCAAGGAGGGAATTCAAAATTTTGACAAAGCAACACTGAAGGAGCTGCAATATATTTCCAAGTCAGGATAGTGAGTGGCTTGGACGGGAACTTACAGGTGATGGGTGTTTTCATGTATCTGCTGCCCTTAGATGGTAGGGGTCATGGGTTTAGAAAGTCCTGTCTAAGGACCTTGGTGAATTTCTGCAGCACATCTGGTAGACCATGCATATTGCTGATATTGAACGTCAGTGGTGGAGGGGGTAGATCCTTGTGGATGTAGTGCCAATCAAATGAGCTGCATTGTCCTGTATGGTGTCAAGCTGCTTGAGTATTATTGCAGCTGCACTAATCCAGGCCAGTGGGTGTATTCCATCACACTCCTGACTTGTGCCTTATAGATGGTTGACCGGCTTTGGATGTGAGTTACGCACTTTGGTTTTCCTAACCTCTGACCTGATCTTATAGCCACTGTATTTATGTGGTGAGAACAGTTGAGTTTCTGGTCAATGGTAACTCCGAGGATGTTGTTAGGGGATTCAGTGATGGTAACACCATCAATGTCAAGGGCTGATGGTGAGGTTGTCTCATATTAGAGATGGTCATTGCTTGGCATTTCTGTGGCGTGAATGTTAATTGTTACTTGCCACTTGTCAGTCCAAGCCTGGATATTGTCCAGATCTTGTTGTATTTGACTATGGACTATTTCAGTATATAAGGAGCCATGAAGGGTGCTGAACATCGGCAAACATCCCCATTTCTGACGTTATGATTTCATTGATGAAGCAGCTGAAAATGGTTGGCCAGAGGACACTACTCTGAGGAGCTCCTGCAGACATGTCCTGCAACTGAGATAACTGACCTCCAACAACTACAACCATCTTCCTGTGAAGTAATAACCACTAATAAGTCCATAAGACCATAAGGTTTAGAAGCAAATTAGACCATTTGGCCCATCAAGACTGCTCCATCATTCTTTGACAAGAGGCACATACTTACGTAACAAAAGGTTATTGTAAAATAACAAATTACGTTAGCTTAAGACTGATTAAGTATATTAACACTAGGTAAGAGATATTGTTATCTTCCAAGAGATTGTTACTAATTCTTTGGAATTCCCTTCTTCAAAATGCAATGGATGCAGGGTTTTTAAGTGTTTTTAAGGCAGATGTTGGTAGATTCTTGAATACCAAGTTGTTGAAAGGTTATCAGGAATATATGGAATGAGGAATACAGCTGAGGTTAAAATCAGATCAGCCACAATCTTATTGAGTGATGGTGCAGGCTTCAAAGCCAAGTGACCTTTTCTAAGTTCCTTGTTCATATGTTCATATCGATGCTATACGTTTGTAGATCTAACTAATAACTGGAGTATACTAAAACTGACTAGCTTGTCCCAGTGACTTCTTCCAAAGTTGTCTGTTTACTCTTTCTGGCCAACTGCTTTTTCCAACAGATTTAAGGAACACAACATATCTAGCAACAGAGTTAGTGAAAGATAGCAAGAACTGCAGATGCAGGAGTCAGAGTCAGTGTGGAGCTGGAGAAACACAGCAGGTCAGGCAACATCAGAGGAGCAGGAAAGTTGACATTTTGGGTTTATACCCTTCATCACGATGAAGAATTTAAACCTGAAGCATCGACTTTCCAACTCCTGATGCTGCCTGACCTGCTGTGTTCCTCCAGCTCCACACTGTATACAGTTAGTGAGAACCACTTACTTTGTATTGCATAGTTTTTTTTATATCAAGGGACCTAAGTGTTTGAGGGGTGAAAAAGGCATTTTTGGCAAATGGATTTCATTTAGTATAAATTCCCCCTTTTTATGTTGTGAAAATTTTAGAAAGAATTGTTGTACCAAAAATCCATATCACTGTTTTCTGATCAGGATTCTATTAATTTTAGTTCCTGGACGAACTTGCCACGCTTGTGTTCTTCTGTTTGACGGGCTATAAGTTCCGACCAGCTTCAGACAATCCCTACCTTCAACTACCTCAGAATGAGGAAGATGTAGAGATGGATGAAGTGTAAGTACTTTCAGCTCAAAGTTTTATTTTTGACTAAACTGTTGGTTTATGGATAGTTATTTCTGGAGTGAGGATTAGGGGTAGCAGGAGAAAGAATGAATGGAGCAAAATTTTTCTTCTACTTTCACAGCATAGTGGTCATGATTGATCAGAGTGAAAAGGACTTAGCTAGGCCAGTGCACCACAAACTTGAGATGCTAGAGATACTGAAGTCCGTAAAGTCTTTACTTAAGCTATTAGCTCCTGCAGCAATGAATGTGAAACTGATTTTATCTTAGATAATTACAACAAATTTGAATTGTTGTGCCCCAGTTTGGTCCAGTAGAGTTTGTTTTATTTCGTTTTAAGAAGACGGGTCATGTTTGGAGGGGAAGCTTTACAAGCCATGATTTTCATATCAAGTACAAGTAATAATGCAAAGTGAATTCCACTGTGTTTTCCAACTGGGGAGGGAACAGAGGGGAATGATGGTATGTAAAGAGATTACACGGGCTAAACAGGTTTCAATTCTAACCCTATTTCCAGAATGTCACTGGGTTGGGCTATTTTTGTAGCTGTATATTTAGGAGCTTTCAGAAATCTAACATTTTTTGATTTGATATGATGATCCCAACATGATGTGTGATCAACCAATTAATTATTATTAAGTTATTATTAGGTGCTGATTTCCACTTCTAGAATTACACCTTGAAACTGATGGTTATTGTTTGTCAGTTGGGTGTGGTGCAGGCATCATTAATAACACTAACATGTATGGTTCACCTGTGTGAATTCTGTGTCGTACAAAATGAAGTGGAATTTTACAAATTAATGCCAAATTCCTCTTTCGCTCTGAGGAGGGTTACCTCCCAGAAAAAAAACAACTTCAGACAAAGCAAGGTTGCCAATTTTAAAAATGCTGTTAAAGGGAAGGCCACAGGGCAGAGGGAGGGGCAGGCAAGCTACAGAGTGAAAATTAAAAATTGGATGTTTTACAAAAACGTGGAGAAACTGGTAAAACTGTGGAAAAAGTTCAATATTGTAAAAGCAAACCTGGAAGAAGACACTGGTGTATACCTGCGCAGTGGTATTATGTATCTAGCTGTCAAATAAACACACAATCACCATAAAACTATGAAACCTCAGTAAAAATTGCACTCCTAAAGAAGATTGTCAGCCTTGAAGCTGTGGAGGTGAGTAACAGCTGGGGATAGGAAAGAAATTAAGAGACACTGCAGATCTTGTATCAGAGAAATGGTGGAAACCGTTTACTTTGTGTTTTTTGAAATATTAAGGGATGCACTCATTTGAATTTTTTTTCTAATTTTTAGGGATTGAATTTCACTTAGTATAAATTTTCTGATGAAATTGATAGGTTGGGTGTGATGTCCTCAATTGTAAAATTATTTTCATGACGCCATTTACAGATATTACAAGGTTTCCAAATGGAGCAAGATTGATGTACATTTTGTGTGAAAATTTCACCCTATTTTCAGTATCTAGTAGATACTGTTTTGGTGCTGTTGATTTCTTTTACTACGTTCATATTGCTTAAACCATTCAATATTTTATCCATACCTTCAGTGCTTTCATGTCATTTTAGCTTGAGTTTCTTTGTTCATAGTTCACCTCTTTACACTGAAACTCATTAATGTTATTTTTGTTTCACCATTCTCAATGCATGTGCATCACTTGTTAAAGTGCATTGTCCACAGTTGTGTATTATATGTCAATTGTATTCTAACAGGTGCATTATGAAATCTCAGCCTAAGCCCTATTGATTTATTTCTGTGTTGTTCTGCCCGTGTGTTTAACTTTCATTTTGAATTCCTGTTAACATTTTGGAGAGTTGATGCTGCTATTTGGCCCTGATGCTGCTTGGTTGCTTCTAAAGTATCCATGTCCTGAGCATTGTAAACTTAGCACACTTATTCCACCAAAAAGTATTTAGCAGTTTTCAATTTAATTGACCTTTTTATCAGTTTCACAACTAATTTAAATCCTTTTGCTCTTGTTATTTTAATGTTGTGTCTACAGATTTGACAGACTTAGAATTGGCTTCTACACCTCAGTCATTTAATGTAAAATAGAAATAACAGGTTTCAGGCGCTGACCTCACAATTTTCTATCCAGCAGCTGTACCTTTTGTCAAATCCACTGCATTTCTTTAGCCATGATCTATTCTCGATTCTCATGGTTTTGCTTTTATCAGAAGTCTCGGTGGAACTTTTCTGTGTCTAAATAAGCTACATACTTGTAATCTGAAATAAGATAATGAAATTTAAGAAGCAAAACTTTGCCTTCTAAGTTTATATTTCATATGAAGCTCTTTCTGTACTGATACTCTTCCAGTCAATGCCATTACAAGCATTTTCATTAGTCTATATTTCTTTTGCTTCTGTAACAACCCTCATCTTTTTTAACATGATTTCACCTCAATCCTGTGAAATGTTATTATTTGAAAGTTGTCTCTTAAAATTCACCACAACTCTGAATCCCTGTTGATTTTAAATGGAAAAGCAAGGAGTAATATTTACCAAAAAATAAAATATTTTTTAATGGGCCCAGGGCAGATATAGTTTGCTGAATAAGATGTCAGAACACACAGTTTAAGGAAACATAACCTAAGTGTCTTACACCTATTATGATCCCAGCTGATGTTATTACCAGACAAATCAAATCACAGCCACGAATCTGGCTTGATGTATCACATCTTGATTTGTTTTGTTTTGAACAAAGTGGTCGCTTATGAAACATAAGCATGCAGTACTGCAGATTTTTCTTTACCAATAAAACAGAAGGTTATCAACAAAATAAATGAATATTAAATACAATCAAGCAAATCTCTACTACAAAAAGTGGAAGATTTTTAAACATGAAGTAAAAGTATATTCCCAAAACACTCCTTTATAAATTGTAAAGAAACAAAGCAACATTTAAGTAGTACAAAAACACACTCCTGGTACAGTACCCTAAAAGGCACTCATACAATACTCATGCCAGAGTCACTGTATCTAACATCACAACAGGTTTAAGTCACTTGTGACTTCCACTTTTAGACTGGAACTGCAGATAGCTTCTTCCTCAATTATGCACTTGCTTAAATGTACTCAGCTTCAAGTTAACTCTTTAGGGTTTTATCCCAACACTTCTGGTCTGGGTCTCACACTAACTACTCACTTTAAGATTTATAATTTACTATATATATTTATATCCTTCCTTTCTCAGGCACACCGGTCAATACAGCCATTTTATTCCAAGGATTTCACAGGACTGCTGCATTCCGAGTGAAATAAAATCAGGAAGCGCTGGGAGAACTCTCACTTTTTAAGCTATGGGTGTTTCCCTTAAGCTTAAAAAGAATAAGATCCAGACCCCATCAGCAAACCTTGAGACATTACTATTTACCTTGCTGGAGCTCAAAACAAGTTAAAATAAAATCCCATTTGTGGTGCAGAAAATCACTTCACTCTAAAGCCAAGCTTCAAAAAATGTCTTTAAAAGAAACTACAGTGGCTACAGAAAAACTTAGACATGAAATATTAATTTCAGATTCACAGCCCATCAGTTACTAACTCCAAAAAAAATGGAAGCCCAAAGTTACATAAATAGTGTCAAAAATATAAACAACGTCTCACAGTTTACATCAGACACCAAAATGTGATAGCTACATGTATACTGCAGTGAGTTAACAGTACACAAAGGCTGGTGCTTGAACCTGATGTATTGGGTACTTCTGTGAATCTGCATTTCTTTCTCTCTCTAAGCAACTTATTAAAAGAAATTCTAAACTGTTCAGATTTTAAAACAACGAAGTGTTTGTTGTGATGGAGATCGTTGATTTATATATTTTTTAATATCATTTTTTACATGTGGGTCAGTGACATATGTTTTCTGTGTTCTCAAGTTAATAACTAACTTGTAATCATTTCTGTAGCCACAGTGATTACTTTTAAAACTGTTAGAGGTGACTGCTTTGGCATCTAATGGGCTTTTGTTTACCTGAGGATGTTTTATCATATAGCAAAGCATATGTGTGCTCTGGACTTTGGGTGTTTCTCCTAAGCTTAAAAAAATTTAGGTACAAGGGAGAGACATTTCTTTTAGTTTTACTTTGTTTTGGACAGTTCTCTGAAGCCCTTGGATATAACAGTTGAATAAGACAATGTTTCTGAGAAGTGGAGAATTTAGTAATGCTAGATTACGTCAGACTAAGTAGTTAGTGATAAGTCTGAAACCTGAAGTGTTAGGATAAAACCCTGAAGAGGATACTTGAAGTCGAGTACATTAAGCTCATGTGTTTCCAGTCTAGGAGTTAAAGTACCTCAGGCCTATCAGTGCGTTAGGAAAAGATTTTTTTTGGTGTGTGTACTATACATGGGGGTGCTTTTGTTTTGGAATTTTTAAGGGGAAGTTTGGGATTAATGAGACTATACTTTTCCTGTGTATTTAAAAGTATTCAAATATGTGTTTAATTTAGATAAATGTAAAGTGTTGCATTTTGGCAGGACTTATACAGTTGCAGGGCAGGACTTGTACAGTTAATGACATTGGTGAGGCCTCTTCTAGAGTACTGCGTCCAGTTATGGTGTCCCTGTTATAGGAAAAATATTATTAAGCTGGAGAAGGCTCAGAAGAGATTTACCAGGATGTTGCCAAATGGAGAGTTTGAGTTAAAAGGAGAGGCAGGATAGGCTTGGACTTTTTTCACTCGAGTGTAGGAGGTTGAGAGGTGATCCTCTGGAGGTTTATAACACAATGAGGGGTATAGATAAGGTGGATGGCAGGTGTCTTTTCCCTAGGTTGGGAGATTTCAAGGGTAGGGGCATAGTTTTAAAGACGAGATGAGAAAGATTTGTAGAAGACATGGGGGCAATTTTTTTACACAGAGAGTGGTTTGTGTGTGAAAAAAACTTCAAGAGGAAGTGGGAGATGCCACTAAAGGCATTTAAAGTACATGAAAAAGAAATGTTTGGAGATATGGTCTAAGCATAGTCAGGTGGGAGTAGTTTAATTTGGGA